ATAAGGTGGCCAGGTGTCTAGATAATATCAAGATTGCATGGTATGAAGGTAGCGGATCACCACTATAATACACACAAGTTAGAAACGTTATTTAAGTTACCACTACGTTAATAGGATGCGTCTTTCCTATCTTTTCGGGGTTTGCTATAAACTTGTCCCTTCCCCATCTGGCGAAGATGGAAACGCCAAGCCAATCAGCTAAGTGGTTGATTGATCCGATGTTAAATTGACCATATCATCTATACCTAGATCCTCCAAGCGCACCAGATCTATAACCAGAATCATGGCTACGATCTTGCCCCACTTTTGGACTTAAGAGAAAACCATGGCTATGACCTTTGGACTTAGAGGGTCCAGATTCTTTTTCTTGGGATTGCCATGGCTTGCCTTGCACCACCATTGAAGGAAACGCAAGGCCTCTCCAGCCTCTCGTGGGCCGACTCTGTAAGAGCCAGGGCGGGCCTCGAAGACATTCGCGGCCTATCTTGGGATCCATGATAGTAAGATATAATAAGATGATAATAGTTTGATGACAGTTAATAACAATTCCAACAGTTATTGGTTTTATGGAGCTAGATGTAGTTGATAGTTGATTCGTTAAGGTCTGGATATAGTAGTCCTTTAATTGAACGTATAATATTAGTAGCTTTGTTAGTCCATGATAGTCCGATCATTAGTGACATGAATGTGTTCGAAACCCAATAATAGACCTCATATTTGGGGATGGTTTACACAGCCCATGTATTGTGATTTAGGGGAGGTTATTGGGTTTCGGTTTCCTATGCATCATCTCTCCATATCCTTCCCATGCTTGACCAAGAATCTGCTGGCTTTCCGGCGGGAACTGAGGGGACGCCTATGCGTTTCTGCAGGGATTGATGGAACGGAACAAAATGACGTTGGTTTCTCCAAAACAAGGAAGTGGCTGGAAACTGGAGTCCGAAAGAGGTTAACTTTGCAGGAAAGCTCTTTGAGAACTCTTGGTCCACGCGCGTGTTTCATCTTGTTTCCCCCAAAAAGTCTGTCGTCAGCAAATCTGAAATTCTGGGGGTGCAGATGGCCTGCAAAACAGGTGGCTGTTCTGGACCTCACGCAGCGTCACACGAACCATGCACAGTGGGGTCGTGGTGAGGTCGTCATTAATTCATCCACGTATGGTCAAGGTCGGGAGTTTATAAATCAATATGATGTGCAAAGGGAATACACACATTCCAGATCGTCCATGTCTGGTACCATGGATGATACAATGAAAATTCAAAAATCCAAAAAGCTCCCCAGAATGTTGAACTACCCACTACAAAACAATTAAATGCACACAATAAAACATAGAAACGATGAGCTCTTCAGCTGAGCTTGGCACCACTCCAGGTGGTTTTGTGCTGTGCCAATCCAGGTTCCAACCTGGGCCACTGTTCATCAATGGTAGGTGTTTCGTGTCGTTTTCTTATCTCTTTTAGTTCTCTTTTAAGATTAGCTCTTTTCTCAGCTCTTTTCAGTCTCTACCCACCCTGAGATCCAATACATCCAATGAGGTTTTCCGCCACTAAGTGCATGTTATATCATGTTATTTTTCAGAATTAGAAAAACATATTAGATTATCTAACATTATCCAATATCATGAGTTAAGCAATCCAAATTGTGATATGTTTACGGGTTTGGTGATACAAGGATTCATGGCTTTCCCACCAGCTGGACGTGGGAAATGATCCCGAGCAGCTGGTAATCAAATCCCCATTGAACGCGCTTTTGGTTGAGGTGTATATTCTATTTCCAAGCAACAAAAAAACACATATGAATAGATATGTTTGATCCCAATTTTGGTAGATTTGTTCTGTTTTGGTGGGTTTTTATCCCGAATCCAATGGTTAAAACCCAGGAACCACGTCCACGGCGCCAAACGCGTACTGTGCCTGGTCCTCATGTTGGACAGGTTGGAAATGCACCGTTTTTTTCTTGGCAGCACGCAAAAAAATGCGGAAAATAGGGAAGTTTATATATCATTCTGATACATATATATATATATGTATATTTATAAATCTTATATTGCATATATATGTACATATGTTGAACATATTATATTATATTTATATATATATACATGTTGAACATACTGCATTATATATTATATATTTAATGAAATATACTATATAATATACATATAAATATAAAGACTAATGACTAATACATATATAATACACATTAGCTGATTTACTATTTTTCGGGGCATGGCCGGGGATTTATTACACTATGATAATATTATAGATACTATGCTATCTATTTTTTGGGGGATACATACTAGAGTTCAATTTGGGACATCATCTTCCAGTACTTACTTAAGACCCGTCATTTCAAGTTCCATAGACACCCATATGCTATAGACAGGTGTTGAAGTAGGACAAGTGGCTTGTGGACAAAATGGTTGAGTATAGGAGGTGGACAAATGCCATAACAAAAAAATCAAAGACTTGTCCTGCTAACCTATACACAAGCGGTATCTGAGATTCGTAGGGCGCCAGTAACGCAGCTCCACCCATGAACGCCACATCAGTGGGAAGCAACACACTCAATACCCTGCAAACTACTTGTTTGCTAGCTGATTCATTACTTAGCATATAGATGTATATATATATATATACACAAAGTATGATCCCCATACATACATATATATATATCGCCAAAACATAGTCAATTTACCCAGCCAATGGATACTGTATCTCCCATCGCCTGCAAACAGGCTGTCTGGACAAGTAGGCAATCGCCCGCCTGGACACAAAGAGGGGCAAAAAACCTGCCTCACACGTGTTGAGATGATTTGATAAGTTTCTATTTTGATGAGTTCCGATTATTTTCGCATTTCTTTTTTTCCTTTTGATCCCTGGTCACTGCTATCTTCATGAAATCTGATGAAAGTTCATGAGCTTGAATCCTTTGCACAGTTTAAGACACAGACTGTCCGCACGACAAAGTCATCTGGCAATTAGTAAATTTATAGGCGCAACCCCCCCTTCTCGCCCACACAACATTTGCACGGTTTCCAAGTATATACGTTGAAGAGGGATATTGACTGGCGTGTTGAAGAGAATCTTCAAGATGTTTCAACAGAATTTCTAGGGAATCATTACATCCCCACCCCCGTTAAACTTTATATCCAAGGGAATCTTCAAGATGTTTGTCAGCAGAGTTTGTAGGGAATCATTAAATCATTAAATCCCGACCCCCGAAAAACTTTATATTCAAAGGAAGCTTCAAAATGGTTCAAAAGAGTTTCTAAGGGAATCAATAGGTCCCCACCCCTGCTGAACTTTACCATATAATATATATATATATATATAATGTTATATATGTCAATATTCAAGGGAATCTTCAGGATGTGTCAAAAGAGTTTCGAGGGAATCATTAAACCCCCACCAATGACCATTAAGCTTTATATATTCAAGGGAATCTTCAAGATGATGATGATGATGATGATGATGATGAGGAGAACGACGACGATGATGGTGGTGATGGTGATGGTGATGGTGATGGTGTTGTAACATTCAACGCACAGGTCGCTAAGCTGTGCGTTGCAAGATGAAAGCCATGATCGTGGACATGTGCATTTTGTCACACAAAACACAGTTTTTGGGATGTTCGGACAAGTGGTGGACGTCGGCGCGGGCAAAAGGAGGGGTTTGCCCGTAATTATACAGTATCTATATATATAGGTGTTTATGTTTTAAATGGACCTTCCAAAGTGATGAGATAATTGCAGGCAAAAGGGCGCACAACTGCACACACACATTCCAAACGTGCCATTTGGATCAAACATTTCATTTTCAATGGGCCGAGAATTGATGTTTTGGGCTTGCACGTAAGTCATTTGGAAGAAAAGGACCCACATCTACCCCTGTAGTGTACCAATTGCCAAGTCCAGCCAATGGTATGCACATAATAATGCGATGTTGGATGATCTTGGGACATACCACTTAGATCACCATTCTGTACCATTCCATTCTGAATCGTTCCATTCTATCCTGAATCGTTCCAATTGGGTCAAAAGCATTCAAAAGTTCAAAAAAGACTGAACTGTGAAGTCGAACACCTGCTAAGAGTACCTGTGATGTCATCGCCGCGTAAAACATGTGCAGAAATCTTCGAGGCACCAGCCAAGAGTGCCCAGTCCAAATTTTTGCCTCTTCGCCAGGAGTTTGTTGTTGGTCTCCTGGAGGACTACCCGAAGTGAAAATGACTAGAAGTGAGGCCAAAGCCAATCTTTTCTATAGATTCACAGATTCACAGCTCCCAAATTAGCTGTTGGTATATCTAGTTCCGGGTATTCACCTAAATATGACCATTGGTATGACCATATATCACCGATATTTAGCCCAAAAATGAGCCAAAAGCTGGTTAATCCGTATTCAAATAGGTGATTTTGGGGTAAATGATTGGTAAATATGGGTAAATGTAAGCAACCAGTCCAGGATAGTGCTTGATCTGCATAATGGAAATTTCCAAATGTCAGTTGAAAATCAGGATCCAGGCTGAGCTCAGGAGAGTTTCTGGAACAGTTCATCCTTGAAAATGAGCCTGCAGAGTAGACCAGAAAAAACATGAAGTTAAGTGATGTGCGCAAGTAGACAAATTCTCCACCAAATTGTGGGTAAACATGAAACAGAGTGATCCTAGGCGTTTTTTTAAATACAACAAGGCTCCCAAGCTCCTGAAGTCCAACCCCTGAGTAAGCAGCCCTTCATAGTCTCAACCAGGACTTATAGAACAGAAGAGTTGCAGGAAACATCAGGAAACAATGTTTTTCCCATCGATGAAACTCATCAAAGACGTTTGAAAGAGAACATCATTAAAAGCGTCAATTCCCCAAACCCCACAGAGACGCCACTGGCAGTGAGACACAGTTTTGCCAAATGAGATGTTTTGCTGCTTTTAAACCGATCGCTGTTATCCTCATCCTCTGGCACAAAGGCGATACCAACGATGAGGAACACACATATCATCACCCAAGGGATACAGTCACAAATTGACATAGTTGACATTTGACATGTCACTGATGGGCAAAGCGTAACCAGAAATCAAGTTTCCATCAAGTTCATCATCCATTTCAGCACCATGTTTTTCAAAAATTGAACGAAAACATGGTGAAACTGTTGGCCCTTCCCAGGAGCAGGGCCAGCTACACGTCCGACGCTTGCTCCGGTGCGGGATCAGGGGCTGGTAGCAATGGCGTCAAGGGGCTGCCTGAAGGTTACAAGCCGTCTTAAGTGAGGTTTTTTGGGGACGCGATCATCCGAATTCATCCGATATCTATTTGGGGCACGCGATTTCTGTTTTCTTCTGGCGCCCTGGGGGGAGGGGCAGCCCAAAAAGTCCTCATCACAATAGATGCTGTGGCATCAAAAGGGCCAGGCCTAGGCGGCCTCCAAACTGCTTGATCCTTTTGCTCCTTGGACCGCCACAATGAACGAAATGGACCCGGCAGTCATTCATTGAGTGAGGAGGTTCCAGATTGTCATTGGACATGCAGGCATTCATAGATGATGTTTCAATGAATCAGTGTTCATTTCCTTCCATCATCCTGAGAATAAGCTATAATAAAACATTTATACAATATATGTTGTTTTTGGATGATTTCCATCTTTTTATTGAAATCAACTAAACCCTATGCAACCGAGAGGCACTGCCACCAGAACTTGACTTTGCAACTGAAGGAAGCGGTCTCCCTGAAACACCATGGTCATCCGGTCCCAGGGAATTTGCCACAAAGGGGGTCTTGATCAATTAGTAAGGAATAGTAAGGATACCTTTTACAAATAAGTTCAACCAACTCTCAAAATTGTTTTGGATCAAAACTTATATGTGCTTGAAATACATCTTGAAATCGGTTTGCAATCGTCCCACAAATTTACATATGTTTACTAGGCACAGAACAGCTCCAGTTTAAACAAGAAAGGTTCGGGATGCCTGAAGGCTTTTGTCAAAGTATGCCCGGATGTAGAACTGCGCTCCATATTCTGACCTCAGCCGATTACAGCATCTTGCAAGATCCACTTGCTCCTGTTTCACCCCGCATCATGCTACAAACTGCACATCTTGCAAAGGACCCTACCGCCAACTATCAAAATAGCAGGACGTATGTATACACCAAATATCCATCATAACTATATACATATGTACGGTATCTTGGAATTGCAAATAACATCAATCATAAACGGGTCTAAATCGTATAAACATAAACACATCTAATCAACACCATTGCAAGCATGCAATATATATATGTATATATAATGTTGAAAATATTCGTAATATAACAATATCATATACTATAACTATAATAAAATATATTACAATGTAATATAATATAATGTTATCTTAAAATATAATATAATATAATATACTAGTAAACTATAATACAACATAATGTCATGTAACAAACTTAATAATAATATAATATTACTATATATATAATATTTTATAATATAACTTACTTCATAAATTCTCTCTCCATCGCCATAGCGAAATATCACCGCCATCCTGGACTGCTGTCCAAGGTGCCAACCCGCCAAGACGAACTGCGGCTCGTAGATTTTGATGTGGCCCCTTTGTGCCATGCTGATCCGCAGCACCTGTCGTCTCCAAAATACCTATGGCTTATATAAGGGATACACAATGGGGGGGCAGTGGAGATGGTTTTCAAGATGTTGGAATATCTGAATATATATATATATGTGTGTGTGTGTATTATTAAATGATACATATATATATATATATACATGTTATATCATGCAATATCCATAGATATGTCTAGCGCATCTATGCGAATCCAGTGGGGCAATCTGATATTCTGCTGAAACTCGGAGTAGGATGACCCAGTTGCCATCAATGTCAACTAAAATGACAACCCTGCCGCGGGCTGAGTTTCCGGCTGCGGATCGCTGAAGGATATCGGGATTGTTGCGCAAATCATCTTGGACGGCATTGACCTTGGAAATTGGATTGTCTCTAAATCATGGGGTCTGAAATGGATCTGAAATTGGCCATAGAAATCATTTCAGATCGGTTAAACATGGGGATCTGAAATGATTTAACCGGTCATGGAAAACCCCAAAACGGCCATCCTGTTTCACCATGTCATAGGGAAAATGAGCCGATGATCGACCAGTGGAAGGGGCAAAACCTATAGAGAGGCTTGGATCTGGGATCATCGTCATAGTTCATCATATACTATGAAAATTATATATAGTAGTATATCATGGTCATGATGACATGATGGCTTAATTACCATGATGGTTCATGATAGTTCATATTACCATCGTATACCATCATGGTAATTAAGCCACCTCAAGTCCATGAAGTCCCTGGGGTATTTGACGGAAACCATTCTTTCTTTCGGAGGACTAGCTAGTGACTAGTGCTCTTATGCTTGATGGTTTCAATATATAAGGGCATAGATATAGATGATATAAATATAGATGTTATATAGATAATAGATATAGATATAGTCGTCCGGTCCTGATCAGGAAAACACACACCTAAATCCACCCCAATACAATAGGATAGTGACAAGAAAGAATTGAACCCTCCAATCAGTTTAGGTAACTGATTCCAACATTCGGCTGGCCCCTGGCCGGGCTAGCCGGATGGTGCAGCACACTTTTCTCCAAGCAACGAGCGCTTCCAAATTTCCAGGATCTTGAAAGGTCACGAACTCAGGCACCGTCTGGAACATGCAAGGAACATGGAACGAACATGTACTCTCTGGTAAACGTACAAAAAACGATGGAAAATCACCATGCTCATGGGAAAACTCACTATTTCTATGGCCATTTTCCATAGCTTTTTGTATGTTTACCAGAGGGTAATCCAAACATCCCTCATAAATCCCATATGAATTCCCTATTAATTAATCCCATTAAAATCAACATTTTGTTGGTTAAACCACCATTTTTTTACCACCATTAAACCACCATTAAACCGATCTCACCAAAGGGTTGCTGTCCTAAGGCTTGAGCAGAGCCAAGCCGTCTCATTTTGCGAGACTTCACCAAAGGGTTGCTGTCCTAAGGCTTGAGCAGAGCCAAGCCGTCTCACTTTGCGAGACTTTAGTCGCTGCCTATGACCTGTTGGGCATAGCTTAGGGAGAGCCACCACACTACTAAATAACTTTGTATATAATATAATATAATATATATATAAATTAATTAAACTATATATAATGTCAACCCCGGATTAATAAACCATTGTTTATTAATTAGGGGGTATTCCCCCAATGTCATGATTTGATACTCAAATGGTACCTTCCCAATTAAACAGCCTAGGGGTTTATTAATCCAGGGTTGACATTATACATGTGTGTGTAACTATAATGATGTGTAGTACCAGTCAACGTTAAAAAACAATATATATATATATACATATACGTATATATATATATATATATATATATGTCCCCTGCGGCCATGATACCAGGTATTTTTGGCAGACTCTGAAGCGTTTGTTGGTCTTGTCGATGACCGTCCCGTCCAGAATTCGTCGGTTGGGCACGGTGACGCGAGTGCCCTCGTAGCCATTGACCGTGGTGTTGAACCAACCCACCTGAAAGTCCACAGGAAAGATCACCATTAATCACTGAATTTATATATAATAATTAATAATTAATAATAATGATTAATCACCCTTGATTTTCTATCACCCTTCGTTTGAGATTTCGGGGCCTCGAAGTCCCAACAAAGCTACATATAACCCCAAAAATGCGTTGGTTCATACCTCAACATCACCAGATCACACCAAATCCATTTATATATATAATTGGTTTAATGAAAACAACAAATTACATCAAGTTACCGGTGAAACCACCATTTTATCCATATTTCATGGAGAAAACTCATGGTAAATCCCATTTTTCATGGGAAAAATCCCTGGTTGTCATGGAAAAATCCATCGTTCTCATGGACAAATCCATGGTTTTCATGGGACATGTCCTGGTTTTCATGGACAAGTCCCATGGTTTCCAGGGTCCCTTTGGTCCCGCGTACGTGTCCCAGGTGCGTTGGAGACCACGCCCTGGAGCCTAACATCCTGCAGCTCCACCTCGAGGCCTTCGCAAATGGTGGCGTTGGTGTAGATCAAGATCCTGGGATGTGAAAAAAATATGTTTAATATGGCATTACAAATCAAATCTATTAAATAGTCATTTAACAAGGGTGAATCAACTTTAATATGGCATGTAAATAGTCCATTAAACTTGTTTATAGATAATAAATGGCAAAATCAACTAATGGCATTTTTTGTGATTATCATAAATGGCATATAATAAATGGCACGTAAAAATGGAAAATCAACTATAAATGGCAAACCATGTTTATAGTTGATTTAAATCCTGGGATGTTTAATATGGCAAATCATAAATGGCAAATAGTATTATCCAATGTTTTTGTTTTTTCTCCCCCCATGTTTGTTTTTTCCGAATCCAACGCCATGGAAAACAGCCATTTGTAGTTGATTTTCCATTTTTTTCACATAATGATTTCTCCATCGTTTTTTGCTAGTTTTCCAGAGGTTACCCAATGATTTTCCCCCGTGTTTTTCACATATATAGATCTTATAGCCATTATAAATATTATAGTTCCATAGTTATGTTAGTTTACCAAAGGGTAAAAAAAAGGCCGGTCGTCAGCTTCCTCTGGACTATGATTTTTCCCCTATTGGTAGTTTTAACATAGTCCACCTGTGATCAACCAACAAGGGTTTTGTTTTTACACTGCTCACATGTTTTGTTTTACATGTTTCTATACTATAGTCATGTAAAACAATGGGAATATAATGGGAATATAATGTTTCTATACTATCCTGTAATCCCATTGTTTCTATACTATAGTCATGAGATTATATGATATGGGTATATAATGGGAATATCATGGGACAACAATTGATGATGATCTTGGGGAGGGACACATTTTGGTGATCAGCTACTCACCAGAACGGAGCATATCAATCCACTCATCCCTGTGCACATTCTCGGTGATTAAAGTTGCAATTGACGGTCATTACCTTGGTTCTCACCATTTTCAGCGGGCTTTCAGCTATGATTCTACTGTATATACCTTGGCTATTCTTAACAATTCTTTTGGTGAGTTTTTCATCATGCCAATGCCAACGATTTTCCACAAAAGGGTGGGGGGGCCCTTAAGGTCAAAACAAATGCAACTAAAAATCTTAAGTGTGCATAGGTTTATTAACCAGTGGATTCCCTCGGGTATGTACCCCCATATGACCCCACATTGAACAAACAAATACATTATTGTTATTATTGATGTATGTCAATTAATTGTATGCCGGTGCTATCTCCCCATTCTGGTTGTATACCTCAAGATGCTTCAATCATAAATCATTTTTTGCTGGACAACTCCCATGTTTTTCCTGCTTCGAACTTTGAATCACAAAAAAATCTGGCCGCATTATTATAATAACAACAATATACAATATAACAATACATATGCATCACTAACCTGAAAATTGTTATTGTTATTATTGTTATTATCACTAACCTGAAAAAACCAGAACTTTGCGGCCATTTAGGGATGATTCCCCTTACCATTCCACTGACCTCACGACGTGAGGTCATGATCAAATTCACCCGGGTTCTTATATCACCCGTCAAAAATAACTAATGTTTGCACCCGATTAAAGAGATGGTACCCTATTGTGAGAAATTTCTTGCTCCTAATTCAGTAACATGCTAATTGTTGGGGGGGCCTCTATTGTGAGATTTTTTTCCATATATTTTTTTCATTTTTTCCAAATGCTTTAACTTTATTGCTTATTTTTGTGTATTTATTATTTTGTTTTTTATTTTAAATAGTTTTATTTTATTTTTATTTCCTTATTTTTTGAATTTTAAATTTTTATTCTATTTTTATTTTTATTTACTATTGTTGCATTTTTGATTTGCTTCATTGCTTCCATTTTTACTATTTTTTTTGAATTGCTTCCTTTTTCATTAATTAATTACAGTATGAGTGGCTCAGCTACTGAATAATATAATTGTCTGGATGGTACTCTATTATGAGCACCAACTTTTGGGAGTGAAAAAAAAACAAAACCCTTTCTCCACCTTTCTTTGGGTAAAGCTGGTCCCTTTACTTTAGAAAGCCATATTTGTGGTAAAGCTTTAAAATGCAAGGTTTCCCAAATAATTAGATGCCTTATTAAACCCTTATTAATAAACAGCATCCCGACAATTTTTCAAGAGGATACCTCATGAGTGGCTCAGTTACTGAATAATATAATTGTCTGGATGGTTGTGAGCACCAACTTTTTGGAGTGAAAAAAAAACAAAACCCTTTCTCCACCTTTCTTTGGGTAAAGCCAGTCCCTTTACTTTAGAAAGCAATATTTGTGTTAACGCTTTAAAATGCAAGGCTTCCCAAATAATTAGATGCCTTATTAAGCCCTTATTAATAAACAGCATCCCGACAATTTTTCAAGAGGATACCTCATGAGTGGCTCAGTTACTGAATAATATAATTGTCTGGATGGTACTCTATTGTGAGCACCAACTTTTTGGAGTGAAAAAAAAACAAAACCCTTTCTCCACCTTTCTTTGGGTAAAGCCAGTCCCTTTACTTTAGAAAGCAATATTTGTGTTAACGCTTTAAAATGCAAGGCTTCCCAAATAATTAGATGCCTTATTAAGCCCTTATTAATAAACAGCATCCCGACAATTTTTCAAGAGGATACCTCATGAGTGGCTCAGTTACTGAATAATATAATTGTCTGGATGGTACTCTATTGTGAGCACCAACTTTTTGGAGTGAAAAAAAAACAAAACCCTTTCTCCACCTTTCTTTGGGTAAAGCCAGTCCCTTTACTTTAGAAAGCAATATTTGTGTTAACGCTTTAAAATGCAAGGCTTCCCAAATAATTAGATGCCTTATTAAGCCCTTATTAATAAACAGCATCCCGACAATTTTTCAAGAGGATACCTCATGAGTGGCTCAGTTACTGAATAATATAATTGTCTGGATGGTACTCTATTGTGAGCACCAACTTTTTGGAGTGAAAAAAAAACAAAACCCTTTCTCCACCTTTCTTTGGGTAAAGCCAGTCCCTTTACTTTAGAAAGCAATATTTGTGTTAAAGCTTGAAAATGCAAGGTTTCCCAAATAATTAGATGCCTTATTAAACCCCTACTTAAAAAAAAAAACAGCACCCATACAATTTTTTCAAGGGGATACCTCATGAGTGGCACAGTTACTGAACAATATAATTGTTTGGACGGTACTCTATTGTGAGCACCAACTTTTTGGAGTGAAAAACAACAAAACCATTGAAAGCAATTAAAAGCAAACTGAAAGTTATTTGAAATTAAATTGAAATCAACTGAAAGTAAAAGTAAATTGAAACTAATTGAAAGTAAATTGAAACCAATTAAAAGTAAATTGAGATCAATTGAAAGTAAATTGAAATCAATTGAAAGCAAATTAAGAGTAAATTGAAATAAATTAAAAATAAATGAAAGCCAATTGAAAATAATTTGAAATCAATTAAAAGTAAATTGAAATCAATTGAACGTAAATTAAAAGTAAATCGAAATCAATTAAAAGTATTGAAATCAATTGAACGTAAATTAAAAGTAAATTGAAATCCTTACTTAAGTTGATTACTGTAACCAAAAAAATGTTGAGGGGGGGGCAAAAAAAAGTGCGAGTTATAGAGTTATAGAGTATCCTCAAATTGTTTGAGGGGGGGGGGCCCTCACACTAATCAGCAGCGAACATCATTATATATATATGCACCCACAATTATCAACAAATTACCCATCAAATTTACCCGTTATATCATCTGGGTTTCCGGTTTCCACTGACCACTGGCCACCCCTGGCCACGTCTAGCCAGGTGGCCCCGAGATCAGATTTTGCACCAAGTTCTGCAACGCCAAACCCACCGCCAGTCCGCCCACACCACCCACCGCCAGCACGGTACGGAGCTGAACGTTGATGAGGCGTAAGGGCACCTCAGATGCCCAAACACATTGGGGGATTTGGATTTCAAGGGAACAAAAACCATGGAGAGTTGGCACAACAGATCTAGAACCTATATTGAGGTTGAGGTAGCAAAATTCACGATCCAACTCTTTAAAAACATGGAAAGTTGTTGATATTTGACAAAGTTGAGGCATCACACATGGGAATTTGAGTTACTTAACCAGCCAAGGATATTGCATGGGAATACTGGAGGTTTAAAAAAACACACAATCATATCCAAACATGGAGGCATGTGTATATATATAGATATAGATATAGATATATACATGTATACATATATATATGTATATATATATATATACATATATACATATGTATATATACATATATCATCTCGCTAAATCTCTCCCTCTCTAGCGCCATCAACATGAAGTATTGGTTGTTGAATCCCCAGAATTACTGGTTAGACGGGCCATGGACTTCGCTGCTTAGGTCATTTGTCGCTGACAGCACCACCCATGAAATATATCTTGAGATAATGCTGTACAAACCAGTGCGTGAAGAGAAAATAATGTAGAAACATGCATCCATACATACACGTGTATATACATATGTGTATGTATACATACTATATTAATTATGAATATATATATATATATATATATGGAAGAATGGGAGGGACATACTGTTTTTTCCCGTCAATCATACCATGTTTTCTTTTCATTTGTTTTTTTGTTGACAGAGAAACATCTACCTGAAATCATGCATTATTTGAATCAAATAGGTGTTTTCACCGATCATTCACAACTTATTCATTTTTAACATTAGGATGATTGACCCATCAGTATCCATCATCTACGATGAAGTCGTTGTGGGCTGCTCAGCTTTGTGGTCCTGTAACCTTTTACTACCTACAAAGACCTGCTGATTTTGCAGGGAAAAAAGGGCAAAACTATGCAACTCTAATCTACTGATGTCACGGGCACGGGGTTGCATTTTTCAACGAAACCTGCATTGGGTTACGGGGTTTTGAAACAAGTAAAGAGTACTGTAAATAATTGTAAATATCGAATATTGCAGCTTTCTGCGCGTTCTTATCTCCATCCAATTAGGGCATGATGGGCGGGGATGTTCATGAGCTACAGTTGTTCTGAGAAGCGCCTTAATGGTTGAGGAACCCTCAGCGAATTCAGCAATCAATGATGTCCTGTTCGGAAATCCATGGGCAGCTTTGTAGACCATGTATCATCATTTACCTATTGACCGTTCTACTGACTAACCAATGGCAAAAGGACATTTACGTTAGAAACATTTGGGTGTTGTCTGGGATAAAGCGGGGGTGTCACTGCAGTCACTGTCACAGCGTGGAAATTGATTGCATTTTTTTGCCCAAGAATATCACGAGGTTCCCACATGTGCTTTCAAGCTCTTCGTTTGCGTCTGCGTCAGCAAATTTCTAGACGAAAATGGGCTAGCCTCATTGACATATGATCATATTGATGTTTTTTTTTGAGAGATATATATATATATATAATATACAGTATGTGTGTGATTGTATGTATATACAAATGCTCGGCTTGCAAACAGCGATCCTTTTCAGCACCCCCCCAGATAGCAATAAGAATATATCATCTGGCCAGTCATGCTTAAAATAGTTTATATTGTATACAGTGCTGCAAAACGATCAAAAACTATCTCAACCCACCTCCTTAGCCAACAAGACACCGAGATCAGGCAAATGTAGATGGCACAGGTCAAGCACTTGTCCACCTTGGGTGTGGTCAACTGGCACCGCAATTCGGGAGGCAGGATGCCTCGGGGACCCATCTCACCTCCACAGCGTGTTATTCCCCTGTGGGTTCACCATCCCGAAGTTCACCATGCCAAAATGCTAGGAGCAATCGCATGTTCGAGGTCCGTAGGCGAGGCCTCACCCTCATAGCCATCAACCATGTCAAAGGCCTGCGCACATGAATCAAACGCAAAGCGGGCATTGAAACACTACATACATAATAAATCCAAATCACCCATCACCCTCTGGCAGTTTCAATTGCCTATAGTTCAAATGTGTTTTACGATCAAACATGCAGACTTTCAATCACCATGATTGTTTGCAGGGTCAGGAGAATCTACCCACTGATCATCACAACCATATTTCTTGGACGTTTCATGTTAATTAGAACACATTTCAAAAACCTCTGCTTCCTGAACCCCACTAAATTGCACCACGGATCTTCAAAAACGCAAACCCAAAAACAACATTGTTTTTTTGCTGGTTTAATTTCCATCATTTTTGGGTAAAAGGAATGAACATGATTAAAATAACATCCCTATTTGAACCGAATCTTGGGGTGAAACGATGTTCGATGGCCGTCCGGGCCTCCACGGGCAAGGGAAAATGGAGGCCCCCTTCCTGATCAAGCTGCGTGATGGCACATGATGACACATGATGACACATGATGAAAAATGATACATGACGTTAAGTCACCTGTGTATATACCTAGAAATGGTTTTACTTTTTTTTGGTGTTGAACATAAGTTACCAGGCATTTCTTGCCCAGTGCTGGAAATACCAGGTTACCTGATGTTTAATTGCAAAACTGGTGTTTGGCATCCAAATTTATAATCTCCCAGTGGGTTTTGATAGCTATATATACTGGCATATAGTGGCTATAAATTGAAGCAAACTGTTCCCCTACTACCCTATTTCACTTGATGAAAGGTAAATCAAAATAAATGGTATCATACCAGGTCATTCAGACTTTAAGGGGCGCACATGATGGACCAAATGACCCCCACATGCAATGGCACTATCATTTGTCTGGAACGGATTTGCCACGCGGAAAATTATGATACAAAGATATTGGCCACGGCCAACTCATCACCATCCAATTTTGATTTATTGATTGATCACCGGTTTGCCAAAACCGCCCCTTTCTTCCAACAAAACTTTAAAGCGAACTCGAGCAAAGAAACTTTGTGATTTGCAGCACTGTTGGCCCAACTTAAAGGACATGTTCTGGATAGGCCCTCCAATGCATCGGGCGTAAAACCACGTAAGTACCCTTAACATCGCGCAAACACCCGTATATAAATTGCACTTAAATACCTGGGTATCTAACATTAAATTAAAAACGCTGGATTTCTGCAATGCAAATTTCAACATAATAATGTGTAAAGTAACCGTAAAAATCCGTCAAGCAACAGACCCCAAAGTACTTCAATTTATGTTGGGCTCGAGCTGCCTGAACCTGTTTTTCGCCAACTATAGACCTTCAATGGTGCTGTTTTGACACCAGAGTGGGGCTTAAGAAGGTTCACCACATCATATCATGCATGGACATGCATCAACTAAGAAAATAGTTTCAACGTGCACCATACTCAAATCTGTGTGGTTTTGATCAAAACTTGAATTCTTTGCTGAAAGGAAACTTTGTGAAAAACAAAACTGTTGCAAGTACCTTTTGCAGTTGTGCTTGTTGTTGCGGCCGTGACATTGCTACATTTGATTAAATGAAACAACATTTTTGTGTGTGGTGTGTGGCATCCATGCTTTCTGGACATACTCATGCCGGGTTCCAATAGCCATCAACCAAAGTACCCGGTATTTTTGGGTCTACCTGGTTTCTCGGCAAAATCAGATTCAAAACAAGGTTGCCTGGGAATAAAAGGTTTAGAAGCCCAAGGTATAAACAAACAAACAAACAAACAAACAAAAAAGCAAACAAGCAAACAAGCAAACAAGCAAACAAGCCAGCAAACAAACAAACAAACAAACAATCAAACAATCAAACAATCAAACAATCAAACAAACAAACAAACAACCATATATATATATATATGTATATATGTATATATGTATATATGTATATATGTATATATGTATATATGTATATGTATATGTACATGTATCTATATGTATAAGTATAAACATATACATATGTGACTGTGATGGTACGCCGCATGACGCTATGAAATAGTGTGTGCCAAGTTAGGCTGATGCAGGTAAATGGCTAGGAGACCAGCATAGAGCAGCTCCGAGCACCCCGTTCCAAGCGGCACTGCTTCCTGCGGTTCTGTCGGGATCTGCGCGGCCGAAAGTTTCGGGTCCTGCCGCTGATTCAATGTTGCGTGCAGTCACAAGGTGCCCCTTGAGCAGGCCAGGCCCGCGTCTGAGACTGCAACCACGCAACGTTGGGCATGCTTCGGCCGCCAACAACCAGGGATGCTCGGTTCGAAACATATTCCTAGAACATCCTAGAACGATTGGGGACACTTCGTGCAGATTTTGCGGTCCGGATGGATCTGTTCTTCTTGTCGAATGAGTTTAGCACGTCTATTAAAGTTGTATGAGAAGGAATGACCTTTACCAGATTTTGCGGCCGTTGGCACGCAGGTGACTGCATACAGTAGATGTGATGTGTTTGGTTGAAAACTGATTATAAACCCCAAGCTATTGCCATTTTTATGGGCAAATAAGGGTCTAAACCATCAAATCTACAGAGTGTTCAGAGTGTTCCCGTAATTTTTCAGACAGTCTGAACAATACCCCCAAAACTCTGACTTGGTACTTAAACCATGGTGACCGTTCTCGGCCGGATGCTGAATCAGGATGCGCCTGTTTCCTCAAGAATCTGCCCCCTGGGATCCGATATTTTCACATACCCTCCAGGTAATCAATGGTGGCAATTGAATTCCCGGAATACAAATGATTTTCCCATTAAAACCTCCATTTATAGAGGATGCTTGTTCTAATGTCGAGGTGTCGAAACTTGGCTGCCGCGAAACAATGCGAAATACAAATGGACAGAAACATACAACTCAACATGGCTGTTAGCTCAAGTGCCCCAAGGTCTCCCAAGGGCCCAAGTATTATATCTAGTCCAAATATGTCCAAATCACGTTTAGCTGGAGAAACCGTTGCCCAAATACATCAGGCCCAAATCCAACAAGTGAGATCAATAGTGCCAACAAGTGAGATCAATAGTGTCTAGATGTGTCTAGCTGGGACATCGAATGAATTCTTGCGATGTTCTAAACTTCCTAAGGCTGGGATGATTAGAAGTTCCCCAGAATACGGTTTCAATTGGAAAACCTGCCCGGTCCAAATTTGAATTCAAACCATGTCAACTTGACGTACCATCAGAAGACATGTACTGAATCATTGGGAACCATGCCCCAGGGATAGGTCCAGGCACACCTGGATGTGCTTCAATAGTTTGAAGGGAAAAGGGATATGGCCAAACCTATGGCAAATAGAGTAAACGGAGAGGTCTTCGACTAGATAGATAGATAGATAGATAGATAGATAGATAGATAGATAGATAGATAGATAGATAGATAGATAGATAGATAGATAGATAGATAGATAGATAGATAGATAGATAGATAGATAGATAGATAGATAGATAAATAGATCGATCGATCGATCGATCAATAGATAGATAGATAGATAGATAGATAGATATACAGATAGGTAAGATCGATAGATAGATAGATAGATAGATAGATAAATAGATAGATAGATAGATCGATCGATAGATAGATAGATAGACAGATAGGTAAGATCGATAGATAGATAGATAGATAGATAGATAAATAGATAGATAGATAGGTAGATAGTTAGATTAGATAGATAGATAGATAAATAGATAGATAGATTAGATTAGATTAGATTAGATTAATAGATAGATAGATAGATAGATAGATAGATAGATAGATAGATAGATAGATAGATAGATAGATAGATAGATAGATAGATAGATAGATAGATAGATAGATAGATAGATAGATAGATAGATAGATAGATAGATAGATAGATAGGTAGATAGATAGTTAGATAGTTAGATAGATAGATAGATAGATAGATAGATAGATTAGATAGATTAGATAGATTAGATAGATTAGATAGATTAGATAGATTAGATAGATTAGATAGATTAGATAGATTAGATAGATTAGATAGATTAGATAGATTAGATAGAT